CTACAATAAATCAAAAAAATTAGCCAGGCGTGGTAGCGCACGCCTGTAGTTCCGGCTACTTGGAAGGCTGAGGTGGAAGAATCACCGGAGCCCAACAGGTCGATGCTGGGGTAGCCGTGAGTGTGCCACTGCACTCCCACCTGGGTGATGAAATGAGACTCCAACTAAAAAAAAAAATTATTAAATTGACTTCCAGTTAGCCTTAAACAAGCACGTGGGATGAATAATTATAGCACATCAGAGAGTCCCACAAGAAAGAGAAAGAATATAATCATGCTCCTTTGTTTTTACAGACTAGATCAGTGCTAGTTCTCACTGCGGTATCTTGATTGACTCAATCACTGCAGTTAAGTCTTTCTTTGTAGGTGGAGAACTCCCCTTATGTATTCAGAAGGGTAGAACCATGGAGTTTGTCTAGGTCACTCACTTTCCTGGGTTTGGGGGTGGGAGGGCTGAATGAAGGACACACTTACAAGCCAGCGTGACACTGGCGGTAAGTAGCAGAGCCTAACCTGGGATCTGACCATTTGGACCTTAGGACTCGCTTGTGTGCCCCTTTCTTCCTCAGTAAAAGGCTGAGAGGTCTCTTGTTTGAACATTCTAGCAGGAAGGAGGCTGCTGGTGTTAAGAAATATGTTCACTGTCTTAGCCTCTCCATGTAAGTGAATAATGAATGCATCCTAAGCTATACTGATTCTCTCACCTCCCAATGACCGAACTGTTTAAAGGGAAAATTCAAGAGTAACAAGGTAGATGACGTGACCTAGTTTGGAGCATAATTTTTTATTCATTTATCTAAGAAAGACAATCACAAAGACTTAGAAACTCACCTGCAGGCAATAATATTGATATTTGCCAATGATATTTGGGGTTCCTTAATTCTAATTCTTTCCTAACAGTTGGGAATCATTGCCTACTAGGGATTTGGGGAGAGGGAAACTGCTTTTAAATGAGCTGTTAAACCGCACACCTATATACTTTGTCGACCTGAATTTGATATTTACAGAATTTTCCAGAAAACTATATTTAATACTGCATTTAAGTATGAGGAAGGGTGAAACAGAGTAGAGGTTCTCAAAAGAGTTTGATCTTTCTGGGAAACCGTTGACACTCAAAGAGTTCATTGTTTACCATGGCATCATTCAAACATTAAAAGAGCCTCTCAAACATAAAAAGTAAAATTGCTAAAGACATTTTAAAACTTCCCAGAATTCACAGTATCCCTTTGCACTGTAGAAGGAATGCAGTTTTCAAAATGGAACATTCTATATGTCAACCCAAACCCTGATTAGTGGAGAATGATAAGACAAGCCATGTTGAAGACTATTAGAACTCTGTGTGAAAGGACACATTTCTAGGGGGAACCCTAGCTAACTCTGCCAACGAAGTCAACCGAGGAGAACACCAATTTGCCTGGCTAGAATCCCTCAGAAAAAGTGAAGCTTTATAGAAAGAAAATCCATCAGAAAGGTAAGCCCCTAATGACAATCAAACTAAGAAGGACCTTCACCCAAGAACAAACTGTCTCATGGCAGAGAAGCCACGGTGATGACAGCACTTTGAAAGCGAAATTCCCCCATCATGTGAAAGTATTTAAAGGAGGAACTCTTCTCTGCTGTAAAAATCCTCAAAGGAAACCCTGCCCCCACTCCTCATACTAAGGAAAGTGCTTCAAAGGGTGACAGGCAAAGACTGAAGCAATCTGCATCTTGTTGAGAAAATTATCTTGAGCAAAGGGTGGGGGAAGGGGAGTGTGTTTATGTCAGTTTTGACATTAAAGAAAGATCATCCATCCTCCTTTCTCTAGGATTTTCCTTTTGCTCGTCTCATCTAACAAAACATTATTTGTTTTGGATGCATTCCATGCACTTTTTAAAAGAAAAGTCATGTGAAAACCTGTATAAACAGCGTCGGCTCGCCCCACCCCCAACACATCCCTTTCTTTCTATTTGATGAGATTGGATTGGGCCCATTATCATTTCATTTCAAAGAATATCAGCCATACTTTTTAGATATTAGCCTGTTGTGATCAAGAATGCCTTACTTTCAATGAAGAGGTTCACCCCTCAAAGAATTCCCAACTCCAGATAGCGAATAAATACGCTATGGATACCACAGTTGAAGTAGACACAGAAAGATGGCAACTCTGCTTTAATCATATTCAGTCAACAGGCCACATGAATCTGCAGATATAATGTAATGCTTCTCGTATATGGGAAGCAAATGCAGAGTATTTGGGATCAAGAGCACACGTGATCCCAATGAGTAGAAGCAGCTC